CAAAAAAAAGAAAATTATTATAAGATACGGAATAAAAACCAAATATATACGCACACTGTGATGTATTTATTTCCTCCCGTTTTGTCTTCTTTCGTAATTCTTTTTCGTCTTTTTGTTTCCATACTTTTACCTTACTACTTTTTATCTTCTCTCGTCTCCCTTTCCCCCCTCTTTCTTTCCAACATTAGTGTTGTTGTCTAATCCGTAGAAGGTCAACACTGATACAAGATACCGCAATGACGTTTAAGCTAGTATCTGATGAATATAATATTATCAAAAGAGGCTTAAGACTATATCTTTTAGTAAACAGAAACGTAAAGACACAATGATATAATATTTCGTTATAATATTATAGTGATTCCACTCTCTTAAACCTGCAAACATTTAAATGGATCAAGAAAGCCACCTTTCAGTTTTACTAGAGGATCAAACAGATTACGGCTGCTTAACTAATTGCTCTTCTATCTCTAATTTAATTAACTCAATCCCCCTTCTACGAACGAAAAAGTATTCAATTAGCACTGAAAAGATTGCAGACTGTGTAAAAACAGTTTCGTCTTTAGTATATTAAATTCATAAAATGAATGTTCTCTTTTTTCTGTGTCACTTAAATTTCTGATCCACTTATCTCCTATCAGCCTCTGTGTTCCCACCGTTTTTCTTACCTCTGTTTCAGTTTTGTCTCTCATTAATATTTATTTAATATAAAGAAATGGAAAAAAAAAAACTTTCCCGACGGGGGACTGAACCCCAGTCTACCGCATGACAGGTGGAATATGTACTACTATACTACCGTAAAAAAAAATTATAGATACACAATGTACATGTATTGGTTATGTGATGGTTTGTGTTTGTTTTAGTAGAGGTTTTACAGAGCTCGCAACTGCATAAGGTCATAATTATGAGCCCCAATGTGATGGTTTACTCACGAAACTCAGCTTGTAAAATACATACGGTGTCAGTCGACACGGTTGTAAGACGTCGGACATGTGTGAATGTTATTTGTTTACAAAAGTATGAAACCAAATAAAACATTTTTAAATGATATTAATACGACAATTGGCACTTGGCAGCCGGAATCATAACACAAATTCGATTAAAAACAAAGAAAACCAAACATAATAACATATGAAAAAATAAACAAGCAAACAAACAAACAGACAGACAGACAGACAGACAGACAATCAATTTAAAAAATGAATTATGATTCACCGCCGGCCAAAGCCATGAATGATATTCAGCGGCCTGATGTTGTGTCCTTGTAAAAGGCATTTTACAAACAATTTCCTCACTTCACTCAGGTGGAAATGGGTAGCTCAATCGGCTATAGACGGCGAGAGAACTTGTCAATTTGTTAGTATTAGAGCGTGGGTGGTTGGCGGGTGCTCTGGCGTGGTTTGTTCTTCTTTCCTATTAAACATCTATCGTCCTTATCTCCCCTTCTTCTTTTTTATGTTCGTTACTCTCTTGTAACACCTCTAATCTTCTGGCGCTCATATTACTTTATGCAGTTGCGAGCGCCGTAAAACCTCTACTAAAACTAAAACTAAAGTGTTAGAGCGCAAAATCAGTTGCTTGTACAGTATGCTTCCCGCAGAGAGCCGAGAATGTTTCTAGGTGTTTTAAGGCCTCCTGGGATAATAATACATACATATAGTATTATTGTGTTGATAGCATAGAGGGTGCACTGTACATTATTATTTTTATTATCATTATCATTATCATTTTTA